ATCCAACCTTGACTGCAGTCACACATATGAGATATTAGACACAATTTTTGACATGGTAGTGGAGTAATGAAAGGAAGTATTTGGAGTGAAATAGCTATCTTACCGCCACTTTCTCAAGCACTTTTGTTATTTGTGCCGGTCCCACATCTTTTGATATAGCTTCCAAGATGTTAAGATAGGCGGTTGTCTCTCGTAAACAACACCGGGCCGATGCCGGTTTATTTGCTGAAGTGGTACATCAGGTCTTTTCTTCCTTCACCACCGGATAGCCAACTTCTTTCCTCTATTTATCATCTTCTCTAAGCCATGACCCATGGTTTTCTTGCGGACATTCTTTTGGCCTTACCATTATTAGCAAATATTGATCAAAATGTGTTATTAAAGCAAAGAATAATTGTAGATAATGATTGGAGAAACAAATGCTTGGCGGTGATATTGTTTACACGAACTAAGTCATCACTTGGTTCTCCTTCACATGTATTACCCTCTGAATTAGCAACATCAAATTGCTCAAATGACTCATTGATGTCATTGCTTTGCCTAGAGCTCTGCCACCGTGAGGTGTCTGTAGGGATTGGTGGTTAATACTAGTTCTGGAGTCATTTGCCTCGACCGAGACATGGTAATAGTGGGTCTAGGAGTATGCTTAGGGTTAGCACCAAAGGCGAAGACATGGCTGCACTTTGCCCGGTGAATCTAGGAGGACTAGGCATTGGCTTTACTGAGCAGTATAGACATGGCTGGACTGGTCCTAGTATGCTCGGGGTTAGCACCAAAGCGAAGACATGGCTAGACCGGTGAATCTAAGAGGACTAGGCACTGCTTTTTTGAAGTGGCGCAGACATGGTCGGACTGTTTGTCGTCTTAGTTGGATTACTAGGCACCCTTTGTGCTAGTAGTCTCTGTGGTGTTGCCGGTGTTTGGTGTGAGGTGGCCTTGCAGCTTGGTCGGCACTAGAGATGGCAATAGGTTTAGGTTTTGCTTTGGAAGTGTTCTTAGGAGGCAAGGGATTTCTTATCCTAGGTGGTGGGCGGCCTCTAGGCGAAGGCATGGCTGCACTTTGCCTAGTGAGTTTTATTAGGCGTTCATAGATTCTTGCTGGTTGGCGGCCGCCATTATTGCTTGCCTTTTTGCTTCTTCCGAGGGCGAGTTCCTGGAACCATCGCTCCTACCTTGCCAAGAGAAACATGCATCTTAGTAATGAACAAAGAAGTGTCAAGTAGCATAATTAAGTACAATGAACTATATGTTTGAAATAGATATACCATAAACTTGTTAGTTGGCCTAGTAATGCATCTCACCTCGGTATTGACCTCATTATTGAGGTCATCGTCATAGTCATCATCGATGTCGATTGTTTATCAACATCGGAGGAGGGGTCATATTCAATGTCGATTCTCAATTCCCCACGCCTTTTCCTTTTTTGATATAACTTCTCTAATAGATGAGCTAAGATTGGAATACCGAAAGACTTAAAACTTCCCGAACATGCTTTACATTCTCATCCCTCTTACGCTCATATAACTGGTTTTTGTCATTTCCTCTATTACTTAGTACGATGAAACGAGAAAGAGCGAAAACTAGATTCAGGTTTCGTAAAAGGAGTTGAAGAAATAACTAACACATCAAGACTACATTAAATAGTAAAAAGAAGGCAAAGTATCAAGTAAATTCAACTAACATGGTTATGCGGTAAATGTGACAAGAAACAACTAATGATGACAACAATGTCTCAACAACTAACAGATGACAACAATGTCTCAACATGTATCCATCATTCATTTCATTCCAACTCACAATTTTTGCAAAAATAGAACTACAGCGTGTGCATTCCAACTCACCAATAGAAGACATATACATTGCAATGGTAGAACAAGATTAGAATTATGTACATTCATCTTTCTTGTGCATCTAATGAGTTTTCAGTCATGCATGATTTATGTCCATCTTAGTATATTATGATAAACACTATAACTGGATTACTTTGCCCGTAGCCAATAAACAACAACCATCTACTAGACACCCAAGGTTGAATTTCACTAGTACTTATAGTAAATATAAAGCATATACTTCACTCGATTCTGAGATGACTTGTCCAATCCAATTGAAATAACAGATTTCAAATCGGTTTGTGAACTTAACCAATATCGGGATTGCCAAGATGTGAAAACAAGGATGCTACAAGTGGGCTCACCAAGTGTCGGCGGTAGCCGTGAGGCAGACGACGTGGCGCGGAGTCATGATGGTAAGCACACGCCATGGTGGACGGGCGCCCTATGAGCCGTGGATGTCGCCGGGGCGGCGTGAGCTACTGGATCCGGCCTCCGCGTCGGGTGGTTCCGGCCTCCCGTCGTCGCGCACGAATTGCCATCTTGGTCAAAATTGAAGCTACAGTACAACCTTGATGTTATGCACATAGAGAAAAACATATGTGAAAACATTTTGTCAACTCTACTTAATATTCCGAACAAGACAAAGGACACAATTGCTGCTAGAGTAGATTTGGAAGAAAGAGGTATAAGAAAAGAGCTTCATTTGTTAGATGACACTGGTGATGCATCCTCAAAGCCAAGAGCTTGTTACGTTCTAACACCAGAAGCAAAGAAGAAGTTCTTGCAATTTGTGAGCAATGTTAAGTTTCCAGATGGCTATGCCTCCAATATATCAAGATGTGTCAATATGGAGGAGGAGGATCAATGCATGGGCTGAAAACACATGATCATCATATACTCTCGCAGCGTATTTTACCAAATGGCCTTCGTGGTTTGGTGCGAAAAGACGATATATGAAGTAATTAATTTGAGTTGGGTAGGTTTTTAGACAACTTTGCTCAAAAACTCTAAAGGTTGATGCACTAAAACAAATGAAGGAAGATATTGTGCTTATTCTTTGCAAGCTAGAGAAAATTTATCCTCCTGCATTCTTCGATGTTATGGTTCACCTAGCAGTTCACTTACCTGATGAGGCACTCCTTAGGGGACCGGTGCAGTATGGATGGATGTACCCCATTGAGAGAAGATTGGGCACCTTTAAGCATTTCGTCCGTAATAAAGCAAGACCTGAAGGTTCTATTGCAGAGGCATACACTTTGCCTATGAGTGTATGACCCAAAGGCTCAACATATTTCAAAGTGACATTATTAATAGGTTCACAAGGCCTGAAAGATACTTGGATGGAGAAAAGAACATCTCACCCAATGGTTACTCTATTTTTGGTCATGGTGTTAACCTGTTGGGTGCTTCAAAACTTCATTATGAAGACAAAGACTATGACTCCATGGTTTGGTTTGTTCTAAATAACTACGAAGAGGTTGATGAATACAAAGAGTGAGTAATTGTTGTAATTTCATTTGAGCCATCTTTATTCAAAACAAGTGTCACAAAAAGACTAACTATCTTCTTCCTTTGCAGCATGTATAGGGCAGAATTAGAACAACAAGAGGTCAACGATGTTGAAAAAATGATGTCAACACAATTATTTGCATGGTTTGAGAATCATGTGTGTGCAGCTTCTACAACATGACTTAATAATTTATGATACAATACACTCAAAACTCAATAATTTTGTATGTTTACAACCTGTAGATTACGAAATTAAAATATGAAGGCACAACACATGTTGATGAAGACCTGTACTCACTAGCATGTCGGCCGGATCCATGAAAAGGCGTTCATACATAGCCTGCATAATCAATGGGGTGCACGGTACCACACTATGGCTCGTGATTTAACACAAGAAGACACAGAACTCCACCATCAAAACTGCAGGTACTCATGGTGGTGACACAATTGACTTCTATGGGACAATCACAGACATTATTGAGTTGAGTTACAGTAAGAACAGCAAAGGGCATAGAACTGTTATCTTATTACGGTGCGAATGGTACAATCTAGAGGGAAAGACATACCAGCTGAAAGATGATGGTTACTTCAAGAGCATAAATAGCCAAGGCCGATGGTATAAGAATGATCCTTTCATTATAGCCACTGATGCTTCACAAGTATTTTTCTTGGAAGATACAAAGTTAGGTCCATGTTGGCGAGTGGTACAAGAATTTGGCCACCGACATATATTTGATGTTGAAGAGACCGACACAAACCAACCAATCCATGAACAAGTACAGATGAGATGTCAGGAGGCATACCAAGAGGAGCATACTTCATCAAGAGATGGTGCAGTGGGAGACATTCATCCTGATATGGATTTGTTGCGCATGGATAATGAACCAGGCAGCCCTGTTAGTAGAGACCTCGTCGAGAGCACCCGTCGACAAAAACATACAACTCAAGGTGATGAAACATACGGCGATGATGAAGATGAAGATGAAGATGAAACCTACCTTGAGTACCATAGTCCTAAAGAAGGAAATACTTTAGGAGAAGACAATGATGATGACTGACCTTTGCATTTCTGGAGATTTGTGAACCATGAACTTTTCTATTATTGATATTGTTGTATTTGAATTATGCTACTACATTTATATCTGAATTATGAAATTGTAAGACCTTATATGCAATGACTCTGTTTTCAGTGGATGGAAGTTACAGTGCCCAGATTTCATTCACATGATGCAAGTTATATATAGTGCCCAGACTTCATTCACATGATGCAAGTTATATATAGTGCCCAGATTGTTGTGTTTTCATGACACATGATAATGTCATGTAATGCCCAGAATCTATCATGGAATGTACAGAATCTGTCACAAAATGTATAGCCTAGAAGTTACAGACATGCTGCCAAAAAATCATTCCACACAAGTAAATCATCATAAGCAAAAGGGATCTTTATTTCCAACATACATCAGAAATGTACAGGTTACACAAGAGAAGTCCAAGAGCACGAAGGCCCATATTTTCATACCAACTACAAATACATCCTAGACAGCAGGTTCACTACATGTCCTAGCTAGCCTACTTCATCATCATAGCCAAAAGCATATCAAATGTGGCAAACATATCCAACCCACTTCACAGCATGTCCTGCTACATCATCATTGCCTACTTCAACATTACAATTACAACCAAAAGAATGGCCAGCACCAGGAATGTTACATTCAGACAACCACAGACAAGACAAATGCAGCTTCCCATGCCTTCCCTGTTCTTGCCAACCATTTCCTTCACCTTGTTCAGACTCTGCTCTAAGCTATCAATTTTTCCAACAAGCTCAGGAACTTCAGTTGTCGAAGCTGGTGCAATGGTAGAAGCAGCTGATGGTAGATAACCATTATCAAGAAGGAACACCACATATTCTTCCTCAAACCAATACCTAGCACATGTCCCCTGCATCCAAATTTAAACAACAGGAAATTAAAATCAATACACTACATCAACTGAATGCTAAAAACACTACCATTCTCAAGCATGCTCATTCAAACAAGATTGAAATGATTATAACACCGACATTTTGATAGTTCTTCCTAGGGCACTTGAAATATCTCTTTCCAAAGTTCAACCCAGCATCATGTGGTATTGGCAAAGAAAGACCCTAACATCCTTGCAATCTAGGCACATAATCAACGGCAACCCGCTCACATCATCAATCAGCGTCTCTAGATCGACGACCGTGGGCGGAGGAGCTGCAGCAACAACAACAAGGGGCGGGTTGCAGGGCAACCCTAAGCTGCGCTAGACCGCCTAGTGCAAGTGGTAGATGATGATGATCTCGAGACATGAGCCCCGATTGATACACAAGAAATTGATTAGGAATTGCACATTGGATTGACAGAGAGCAATGAGCGAAGAAAGAGGAACGGGAGGGGATGAGGGTGCCACAGCCGAGCAAATGGAGGCGAACGGGAGGGATTGATGGCGACACTCGCCCACCATGCGCCACCACCTACCAACTTTGAGGCGATGGCGGCGTTCACGGTGATCTGCGCTCGCCGCCGGCTGTCTGGCGGCGGATCTCATGCCCTCAGCCCTTTGCCTCGCCGTTACACGGGAGAGGGCGAGCCGGCTTCCATGCCAGAGCCTGCTCGACCACGGCCGTGCTCCACCACAGACGCCAACCACCTTCGCCGCCCCTCCGCTTCGCCGCTGCCGCACCGCTAGAGGCTCACCGCCCTCCGCTCGCCTCCTTCTTCAGTTCGGTCAGGGGAGATGGAAAAAATGAAATTGGTCAACAGCAAGGAGGTAGGGTCCACCTTCAGGGGGTATATTGACATTGGGGCCGGTTATTTTTTGAAAGATGATAAAGTGACATCGACAAACTGTCACATAAAACTAGCATATGGCGTCACAAAAAACAAGTCGTCAACCGGCTCCTTGCGCCTAACATTTAGTGACGAAATTTGTTACTTTTTTGTGACACTATATACAATGTCATCACAAATGCTACTGGGGCTCATAAAATTATGACGACCAATATTTTTCCGTCACATTATATTACATTAAATGACAAAAATAGGACCCGTCATAAGGGAATTTGTCATAAAAAGAAGGATTTTTTGTAGTGTCTCCATCGTCATAGACGAGCATTCCAGATGCAGTACCGACCTCGATTTGTTTCACCACTCCGGCGAGGGCGGTCTTCAATCTCCTCATCTCCCTGGTGGTGTCTTCCTCCTCGATTACCACCACCTCGTCACCGTGCTTGTGGAGGATTCGAACAGATTGGGGTCAAGGTTCAGCACGCTTGATCTCTTCCACCTCGTCCTCTTCCGCCATAGCTCGAGGCACCACTGGGGGCTACGTGGCTGGACAGCAGGTCCGACCATGCCCTGCGATGCCTTAGGGGGTGCTGTTTGCTCCTTGGGCGCCACCGGCTTCGCCACCCTAGACTCCGATGCATCGCCGGCAACTCTATCTTGTGCTCCTGATGACCCGGCGGTACCCGCCGTTGCCTCAGGCACTGTCGCCGACCCGTCTATTGTCAATGCCACCAGTTCATGATCACCACGTCCGTCGATAGTGGTGGTTGACTCCTCCTCCGGCTGCCGAGCACTCGGGGACTCCGAGACAGGAGCCACCGGCGTTGCCTCCACCCTGGGGTCAGCCCTCGGCTGCTCGACAGTCTAGACTGGCGGGGTCAAATTCTCTGCATGCTTTGCACTGCATCAGACCATCTCGTCAGTCACCAAAAAAGCTAAGAAATGACAGCAAAGTAACTCCAAGGCAAGTATACTTATGGTTTGGTCTGCCGGTACAATTTGTTGAACCGACGCTTCATACTCAAGCCCCCAGGCATGGCCATGGGGTTGACTCCCATGCTCTAGGGTGGAGGTCCCGCCTCCTCCACCATCGGCCTCTGCTCCGCCTGCTGCTCGGGGACTCCCGTCGCCTGCTGCTCGGGGGCTCCCATCGCCTGCTGCGTGGGGACTCCCCTCGCCCGCTGCTCGGGGACTTCTTCGCCTCTCTTCGCTTGTTCCTCCACGCACGTGCTGCGCGGAGGTGTTTCAGTGCTCGGTGGAGGGGCCACTAGAATTTCGTCGTCATCCGACCACTCGAACATCGCGGTCCTTCGCGTTCGAGTCATCTGGTCACCACCAAGCAAGATGTCGCCCGGTTTGAGGGGAGCGGTGGCCGCTGTCTTCCTCTTCTTCTAGGCCGGCTCGTCTACTGTTGCCCTCTTCCCCCAGATTTACTCTAGCACCGGGGATGGACCCTCCGACAAGATGCTGACAGTTTCCTCCTCTGGCTGCGGTGGTGGCCGGGAATCTACACCCTTCGGCCAATCGCTCCTTGGGATGCCCGAGAAGTACACCGCTCTTTCCTATGAATGGATCTTTGCATAAGTGAATCAGTTCACTGCTCGGCAATAATCATGGATACTAAGCAACATGAGCAAAACAATCGAGAAGGTTACCTGAGGAGGTGGATTTAAACAGTTGAAAGCCTTCGTTAGCCTTGACATGCTGAATGAGGGTTGGGAGCGAATAGCTCTGCGGCCCGCTCTAGCACTTCTATCCTCATCAGTCATTTCGGCCTCTCCCGAGTCCCGTCATCATCGCCCTTGAAGTTAAAGCCCGGGTGGGCCCTCTCCTTGCAAGGCTGGACGTGGCACACAATGAAGCTTGGCGCCACCAATTCACCGTTAATCTCCACGCCTTTGATCAAGTCGAGGAGCTCCCTCACCTACTCCATGTCAGGGTTGTTTGGTTTCTCCGACCAGCTCTTCTGGCTCTCCGGGATGTGGTGGATGTCGCAGCGGATTATAGGGTGGCTCTGCTTCATGTAGAACCACCTAGAGTTCCACCCTTTCAGAGAAGTGTTCAGCGGTACATTAATGTACTCGCTGTTCATCCCATCCCAGAGCTGCAGATATACGTCGCCGACCACCTTGGAACCACCGCCGCCCTTCTTCTTCAACCAGAACAGGTGTCTGAAGAGGTTGAAGTGCGGCAGAACACCCAGATACGTCTCACAGAAATGGATAAAGATTGAGATGTGCAATATGGTGTTTGGGTGGAGATTGCACAGACTAATCGTCCAGAACTCCAGCAGATCCCGCAGGAAAGGATGAACAGGGAACCCCAACCCACGCTAGAATATATCCTCAAAGACTACAACTTCATCAGTGTTAGGCATCGGGAAGGGCTCACCGCTGGCTGGCCGCCATCCGGCGATGACGCGGTCTGGAAGGACGCCCGCTGCCACCATCCTATTGAGCTCCGCCTTCCCTATCTTCGACGGCACCCATTTATCGTCGCGGCTAGCTCCGGTGGCCGCCTTCTTCGATGCCATTTCTTAGATCTGGTTTGAGATTGGTGGCGGATGCGCGTGTGGATGTGAATCTAGAAATGTGGCGGCGGAGGAGGAAGATGAAATGGCAAAGGGGCAAAAGGTATGAGCGTGGGGTGTGGCGGCGCAATTATAAAGCACTCCCCCACCTTTTTGCACTCGAGGGTTTTTGGGAAACCGTTCCCGCAATTTGTGTTTCTTCGAATTCTCCGCAACTGAAGGTGGGACTTTACCTGGGCTTTCGTGCAAGCCCCGGCCTGCATCGCTGATTTATCGCCGAAATTGGTTATTACTCGCCGAATATTCGCCGACATCTTCGCCAACTATTACGGCTCTATAATTACTACTATACAGCCATTACTCCGCTATTTTCTCCATGATTCTATTCTCTCCATGATTTCCTTTTGAGGCTCGGGGACAGCGTCAGCATTACGTCTCGGTTCCTCAATGCGTTGGGGAGTTTTCTTTAGTTGACTGTTGTTTCTGACCCTGGCACCACATGACCACATGACCTACTGTCAGGCTCGGGGACTAAGTGGGCACACTTCACCTTGCGGTGAATGTGCTTTTTCTCAATTCGGGGTCAAGCCTGGGGACTGGCTGCCTGCTCGGCTGATCTTCTATTATTTTTCTACTTTGGACCCTGGCACCACATAACCACATCATATACTGTCAGGCTCGGGGACAAAGTGGGCACACTTCACCTTGCGGTGAATGTGTTTGCTTTATTCTAGAAGACTCTGCGCCTCTTGAAGCTGAAGAAGACTATTTTTCTCGTGGGCGGACTCCAAGTGGGCACACTTGGTCCACTGCGAAGAAATTTTTGATTCTAAGCTTGAGCTCCTTACACCCTTATGGCAAGCCGTACTTGGGTCATATTGCTCAGCTATGATTCACGCTGCTCGGCAACTACTCGCAACTACTCGGCAACTCATCACAGTGGTCGGACCATGAGTTTGACTGCTTGGCTTTGTTCGCACCTGCTCGGACGAGCGCAAGATGGCGTTGCACAATGGGTACAAGGCGCTCGGGGACTAGCTGTGGGGGGTACAACCCCGGATACCCATGACAGACCACATGGGCTGCGCCCTCAGGGGCGGCCCAGCCCATAAGACGAATCCTTGCGGGGCACGACTCTGCTCGACGCCTCCCGCAAGGCACCGGGAAGATATCCTGAAGATACTACGAGATCTGTTAGGATATGTATGATCCCAAGATTCCTGTAATCAGTTATTACTTTCCGGTTATCTCTCAGATCTAACCGACTTGTAACCCTGCTCCCCGGACTATATAAGGTGGGCAGGGACCCCCTCCAAACTCACGCAATATCATACGATAGCTAATACAAACCAACAGACCATAGGAGTAGGGTATTACATCATACTAACAGCCTGAACCTGTCTAACTTGTGTGTCTCTGTTGCCTTCTTGTTCTTGATCTCACGCTTCTCTGCCGATCAATCTACCTTCGTGGGATACCCCTTGGAGGACTACCAACGATATTCTGTCGACATTGTTACAGTCGGTCTCTTGATTGGAGGCGTGAAGCCATTGCATTTGAGTATTTGACCACATAAAACATGATTTACAAGTACTCAAACTACCGAATTTCAGATTATGTAATGTAATGGTAAGCATATGCAATGGTTGTGCCTCAGAAGTCAGAACTTGCAACCATCCGTGAATTCTTTGCTAAGCTGTTGAGAGGCTCCATCGCTGGGCAAGACATATATGGGTGGCGGCGGCGTGCGTTGGTCGAGTCCGTGTCGACAACGATGGGCAAGCCCTGCAGGAACACAGCGTCGTGATGCACAAGGCCTGCATAGGCAAGCCCCAGCCCGCGTCGTCTAGAGTTCATAAAAAAACTACACCACCTCGCTTTGGCTCTGCTGCGGAGTCCGCGTTGAATGATACAGGTGATACAATAGTATGGAAAAAAAGAGAGAAACTAATTTTATTAGCTTTGTATAAACTAATCTATACGACATAGGTCATAAAGATCATGAGACAGGCTTTATATTTTCAAAATAAAATTAGATTTGTAAATTTCTATCGTCTAAGCTATAAGCACATGCATCGTTATTGGTGTAGATAAAATTTATAGGATCCGTGCAACGTACTGACATTATTTGTAAAAATATACTGTTTTCACTCCTGTCTACTGTTCATGGTCCGGCAATTGTAACCGGGATTGGTTTGATAGTTGATTTTCATATTCAAATCATTTAATCGTATGACTGGTTATTACTAATTACAAGTCTGGGTATCTCTAAATTTTAGATAAACAGCACAGGAACAGAGATTGCAAGGTTCAGAAGAGTAGAGAAGGTCTCGATGGATAGTTCAGATGCAAAGGTTTCGATGGAAAATGGAGGCCACTTAGAAGATATTGTACAAACAGAAAATTCCAGTGAGCCTATGGATGATTCTAGATGGTTGCAAGAAAGCATGAGTACAGAAGTTACCCACGAAGCTCTACTAGTTGACCAGGGTTTTAGCACGGCCCACGATGAAAAGGCCCTATCAACTTCTGGGGTGGATCCGACGGGAGAAAAAGGACTTTCAGAAATCATAATCGTACAAAATAAACCCAAAAAATCTATGTCTTCACCGGTTGCCCCAGAAGGTATTGATATTTTCTCTTTGATGGATTAACCTAGAAAAACTGCTAACTATAGAGCCATAATTGAATTTGTGAAAAAATTCCATCTTCACCTAGGAATGAGGAGCTTGTGCTCATAGACGATGTTCTGGTGTCGAGAAACCACATGGAATGTCTTTTTCAGCCATATGAATACTTGTCTCACGAGGTAACATATGCAAGTCATAATACTCAATCAAACATTGCCAACTTCAATGCTCTTTCTCTATAATGACGAAATGTATGCAAGTCATAGATGCTTATATTAAACTGTTGAAGGCCCAGGAGGGTTTGAAAAAGAGGCCAGGAGGTACAACCTATCTTGAAACTGCGTGCTTAGTTGCAATCATGAAGCGAGATGGAGAAAATGATGAGACCATTGAAGCCAATTACCCTAACCGTGGCACTTCACAGCGTCTTGGTTTAGTTCAAAGGGTGCTAGCTTACTTGAAGCATGACATGGTAGCAATTTTTTTAAACGATCTATTGGTCTTTCATTATCAATTTTTTATGCCTGGCAAATTGTTTATTGTTTGATTTGATAGGTGTTCCTTCCAGTAAATGTTACAAATACACATTGGTACCTTGCTGTTATAAACGCCGACAAATGTGAGGTTCAGGTGCTAAACTCTTTGGGCGAGATGTTCGTACGTGTTGACCTCAATAAAATTGTGGGTATTTCCTAACACAACTATTTGTACACATTTTATATTTTAGAAATGCTGATTGATTCGTTCTTCTATGAACAAATAGCGAGGTGGATTGCGAAAACAGATAGATTTCATATTGGAGGAGACAGGCCCGAAAGAGCACAAATGGCTAGATGTTGAGGTTGATACCTGGCCGTTAGGGAGATTTTCCACGGCAAATTATTACAAACAGATGGGTACGTCAGAAATAATGGCATGTCATATAAGTTGAATTTTATGTGACTTTTCCTTTTTATCTAATGTGAGCATTAACCTCTATTAATGTTGTATGTAGTTTTTTATGCGGTTTATTCTTAATAAACTTTATGGAGTATTGGACTGGGAACGATTTGTTAGACGAGTTCAATCAGGTAAACTATGCGTCTTACCACAAGTTATGAGTGTGCACTAGCTGTGTGTTTTTAATTAATAATTAATTAGGTTCATACTATCGTGCAGGATGATATGAAAGAATTTAGATTGAAGCTTGCGGCGATCTTGCTATGGTCAGAGTTAAATAAACGAAAGGGTGCTCCATATCTTGATAGGGCTAAAAATATTGGAAGTCCAAGCGACTGTGCCATAATAGAGAATCCAAAGATGGCTGATCAAGTGTCCACGAAAAAGAGAAAATATTATGAGAAGGCCAAATGTTTAGTGGTTCAAACGGGCACCCCTCAACACATACAAACTCAGAATAAATCCTCACAAGTCTATGCCAACCAAGACCCTGATGAGTTTTTGGCATTTGAGGTCATGAAAGACATGCCAATGAACAAGGAAGAGATAACTGAGTTACTGTGTGATTACGTTATGGCGATTCAGGATGAAGCGACGTTAAAGTAAGCTACATACTTATTTTAATTACTTTATTTACTAATAATAGTGTGCTATCTTATATGACGAAAACCATCATCTGTGTCTAATGCTTTGCAGGAAGCCTTGGGTTAAAGATTTTCATCCCTCCATGATTGCCCTAAGTGTCAAGGACCTACAAGAGTTGTTAATGAACAATCGAGACATCCCTGAGAACTGTTTCAACTTAGGTGTTCGTTTTCAGGCAGTTCGAGAGTATAATACAATGAAAAAAATACAATAGTATTATGAAGCATCATATGGACCTGCGATTCTGTATAAGCATATTTTTAAAATTCTTATCGTGCTATATTATATTGTCTTATTTGTTGTTCTCCTAATTATATAAAGTAGGTCAAGTTATACTAATCCTGACTCTCGATATCCTTCTCTTTCAGAAAATGTGTGCTTTAACAAAAATGCCAGAATACCGTAAAAACTACACTAAGAAAGAAATGGCTGCTGCGATTGGTGTATGTGAGGATATAGAATACAGCTTAGCACAATGCAGATATGTAAGTCGCTTGCTCCTACTTTTATTACTTGTTTCCTATAAACTATTCTAAACGCTACCACATTTACAGTTTCTTTTGCCATGGCTGCACGTTCGAAAGTATATGCTTTATGTTTTCGATCAGAAGGAGAAGATGCTTGTCATGATTGATCCTATACCTATTGAAGACTGGTGTAAAGACACACCAGCGCTGATGTATGCTAGGTACACTCTTGGATTTACCTTGCAGTACACGGACGCAGTGAATGTACATATTCCCGAATGGAATGAGGATGTCTTCAAATAGAAATTCAGACGGGAAGGAAATATTGCAGATGACATAGATGGATAACTAACGTAGAGTCACTATAGCTTGCAATAATAATACCTACGATTTAACTATTTCTATATATCGCTGATCGTGAATCTTGCCACAGACATTTAAGTGGATATCTTATTCTACAGTATATGTCTGTGTGGAATAGACCAAAAGCCACACATATTTATACTGTGAGTATAACACTTTGTTTTAAGTTTTTGTGGAAGATTTTTCAAGAGACGCAGTATTACCCATGCGGCAGGCACTAATATTGACATATACACTTGAGCCTGTGTACAGGATGGTATGGAGATGTGACGGAACTTATTCGTGGATTTATTGGCACACGAAAGAAATGGATATCGGAGATTTCTTTCTGCCGATATAAAACATTATCTTAGGCGCATCACGGAAAGGTCTATAAAGTAGAGTGCCGTGCTCTTAGTGACTGTTAATTTCACAAACTTTGTTTTTTTGGATTAAATGTCAGTTTAATGTCTTACAGTATTGTTATCTTATCGTGCGATCCGTGTGTTTTTAGTATAAAAGTTTAGTTGTCCTGTAATAACGCACAGACACGCTAAATAGTCATTATCAAAAGTTCAAAACATATGGTCCACGGGTGCGCCGAGGGTTGCACTTTGGATGTGGTGCCGCCATTTCCAAACAATCGAGCTCTCAAACTATTTAATGGCGCCGGGACAAAACCGGCCAGCTGCCACACGGTGGGCCCCCGCCGGCTCTGCGCCATGCAGATGCGCCGGGACAAAACCGGCCAGCTGCTACACGGGTGGGTAGCAGCCGCCCTGTGCATCCTCAAGACAAGAACTACCGGCCGTTAAACGCGATCACTTGACCTGAAAACTCGGCAGGACGACGACGTACCAGGCGGTTTGCAACGGTTACCCACTCCTGGTTCGTCGTCTTCGTCTGGATCGCCTGCTGTGGTCCTCGGCGTGGCAACATGTACAAGCCAATCGAGCCGTAGTAGATTCATCCAATCTCAAGAGATTAATTAGCTAGCGCGAACTGCGTGTCGTGCTTGATTCCGCGCCGTCACGAGCCTAGGAACTAGGAATAGTAACCAACACAAACCCATAAAAAGAGCACTGTACCTGGGGCGCAGCAGTGCGCGTAGCGCCGGCGGACTCCAACTGGGCCGTGCGCGTACGCCAGGTCGCCAGCGGCCAGCCAGCCGGCCCGTGGCTGATCCGGCACTGGGGCTGCAAGGCTTCGCTGTCGCATCAACGTCGACCGCACTACTGCGAGCGCTCGCGCGACTTGTACGTCCACCTGTTCCTGTTCCGCCGATGCCGATCGATCTCGGCGGCACGTGCACGCCCGGGGACCAACCGGCGCCCCGCGGCCAAAATCGCTAGATCCCGTGGCGTCCCGCCGATAATGCCGGCCAGCGTCCCTGTTCTCCGATCCCACACAGATCACGGACTCGGCGCGCGCACCCCGTCCCCTCCTGTGTACGCCGAGCTGTTCATTCGCCGGCCGCCCGCCAGCCCAGGTACAGGTACGTCCGCCGCGCCTGTGGTCGACCGCGCTTGGGCGGAAACATCCAGTGCTGGGCAGCTCTTGCTGCCTTGCTGCGCGCGATAAGACGTGTATATTCTTCTCCCGTGGCGCATCTCTGTGAAGGTACCGGCGTCACGTCGACGGTCGACCTCATCGTTGTCATTGTTAGGTGTTGGGTCGGCAAGTTGTACGTACGCCCTGGTAGTTACGTACCTCAGCTGCAGGTACGTTTCTCGCTGCACAAATGTACTAGTAGCTGGCTGCTGATCGATCAATCTACCAAGGACACAGGAACAAGCTACGAACCGTGGACCAAGCCTGTTTAGGCATGATCCATGACTTAATCATGGTCTATTACGACACCTTAGAATAAGAGAGAGGCTAAACAACATTCCGTTGTTTCTTCGGCGCGCAGCACTCGATTCAATTTCTATAGTAAATCCGGCCTCTCCCCGTCTTATTCTCCAATGCGGCGGGCATAGAAGGAGGTTCAGGAGGAGGAACGCTGGTCAGGCGGTGAGGACGGCAGCAGGGCAGTTTAGGGGCCTGGTGGCGGTGGAGGCGACCGGACCAGGTCGGGACGGCGACGCTCATGGCCGGAGCTCGCCACGGAAGCCGGAAATCGGGGAGGGGAAGAAGGAGGCCACGCTGGGACGGTGGGCAGCGACAGAGACAAGAAGAAAGATGAACAGTGAAAGAGAAAAAAAATCGAGTGACCAACCCTTGGTTATCGGATACACGCCCTAAAATAATCAACCTGGATCAGGTACTACTAAAGTTCACCAAACACACACACACAAAAAGAAAAGAAAAAAAATGAACACTCGCTCACACAGACGGTTGCTAGTACACGAGTACATGCATGATACACATGCCGAAGCTACTGAGACAATCAAGCCGGAGGCGTCCGGCCGGGTAGTTTGATTTACATCAGGCCGAAGGAGAAATGGCCGCCGGCGCTGCTGCTCTCGGCCGGCTCGCTACTGCTGGCGAACGTGAAAGAAGAGACGCGGGAGGAGGTGCAGGCGAACGCGCCGGCGGAGGCGGAGGCCGCGGCCATGGTGACGACGAGGTCGACAAACGCGGTGACGATGACGGGGTGGGTGTGCCTGCCATTGGCGCCGAGGTACCATGCCAGCATCCTCTCGAGCCACTCCCAGTCGCCCATGCCGTGCGCGGCCACCATCTCCTCCATGGAAGCCCGGAAGTCGTGGTACGGGTCAGTGGAGTCGAACGCCACCGCCACGCTGTCGCCGAAGGACGAGGACGCCGCCGCCGCCGCCGCCTCGGCCTGGGCGGAGGCGGCTCGCGGGCGCCGCAGGGCAGGACGTGCCGGCGGAGGCTTCCTCTCGAGGATGGAGCTGGAGGGCCCGTGGGGCTCGAACAGGAGGCGGTCGTCGGAGCGGAGTCCCCGGACGATGGCGTCCGCGATGTCGTCGGCCGCCGGCGAGGCCTCCGACTCGGTGGACTGGCTGTCGGACGCGCAGTCGGCGTGGTGCGTCGTCGTCCGCGCGGAGGAGTTGGCGAAGGACGACTCCCCGGAGTCCAGGAAGAGGGATGCGATGGTCTTGGCGGTTGCGGATGGGGTCCGGAAGTACTGGGTCGTCCTTGGGTTCTTGCAAGAGGGCCACATCCATGCCGGTGGAGCGGCTGCCGGCGGTGACGGTGGCGGGGTGTCCTGGGATGAGTTAGTGGTGTAGAAGAGAGAGCTGAAGGGTAGCCCCCTCACCATTGGCGTCAGCTCTGATGTCAACAGCGACGTGTGCAGCAGTGGCGCTGGCGCGAGTAGGAGCAAGCCGGGGGAGAAAGAGGTCTGCTGGGGGCTTGGGAGCGGATGACTAGTTTTCAAACAGAGGGATTTATTTGGTTGAAGCCATGACGAAAAATCTTTTTCGTTCCGGTTCCTGAATAAAAAAATTATGCGACACCGTCGCATAGACGTCTGTTGTGCGTCACCGGGTTCGGCTATGCGAACGGCGTGAGATCTTCATCCCTGTGGGCCTGCTCATTACCATATGGGTTGGGAACTTCTTGGCGCGTACATTCTAGACGGTGTCACACAGCATGCTCTCGTGCGGCACCGCCGCATATAATTTTTTTCCCGGTTCCCCCGTAAGCGCTTGTACTTGTGTGTATGTTTATTAGTATATTTGGATTTTTTTAATTCTTTATGTAATGCACAGAAACTACATTGCATTTTAATATTATTACTAACTAGAAAGGTGGTCTTTGCAAATATCACGAGTAGCTAGCTTTTCTATTACAATATTTGAATATTTTTACTTAAAATTACTTCAGCGAAAAGTTTTTTAATGATTCGATTATAGTTATCCTCTTTACATGTGCCCTCACTGTGTCCATGAACATGATTTTTGTGAAGCTATCATTAACCATTTCCTTGGCATAAAACTATTATCATGTCCTTCTCCTCTTCCTTTTTTACCTAAAATATCCCATAGCTATACAACTTCTATGAGGCCAAATCTAAGTCTCACAAACTTTTCAAATCCTTGTCCCTCTTTGTAAATTTTAAATTGGATCATCTTGCAGCTTCTCTTTGCTGATCCATGGCCTTTGCTTTTTTTGTCCTAAAACATTATCGAATTTGTCACGATGCTACTCATCTCTGCTAGAGCAGTGCGCAACTACTATCTCAAATAGGTGCTAGACGGCTATATCATCGCATCAACATCGACTGGCGCATTAAGGTATTCCTGAACAAATTGTAGAGCAATCCTCAATGATCACTATATCATAGATATGCTCAATACCACCGATCACCTCCCCTTTGTGCTCATCCTCCTTAAACTTTCCATTATCGGATGTTGTGGAATATCCATAAAAGGCTTGGGAGCCATCCACATGTCATGAGCGCCCTCGATGTCACAATTTCTTGGAAAGACCTTGTCACTCACGGCACACATCAAATAGCAAGATGCTTGTGCATCTAGTTGCAAGCAATCCTCTTGCGCTTGAGTTAGATTGCTGTCATCCAAGGCATGAGAAAAAACTACAACCACGATTCACCAAAACTTAGGACCAAATGCACAGAAAGGACCAAGCATGTGGGTTTTCCATATTGTGTAGTTTGTTCCATAAAAATATGTGTGTCACAAGCAACCTCTAGCCTATTAGTCCCCATCCTATGCTCTTGTATCGGTTAAGACCACTCAAATGAGAGAATCAGGCTCTGATACCACTTGTTAGGTCAAGATGGCCGACTAGAGAGCTGGGGGTGAATAGTTGTTTCTAAAACTTATCGCTATAGTTAGCCGAAATAAATGCGAAATTAAACTAATCATCTAGCCATGACTTCAACCCTCTATCTAATTTCACAAGCACTTTATAAAAGAACCTACACAAGGTACCAGCTAGGTGTCGAGCTAGTGAGAGCTTGCCTACACAAGTCTAGTTTGTAAGGTCACACAAACCTAAGCAACTAAAACTCAAGCAAGTGCACGGGAGCACCTACACATGCTAGTGAGCGAAGGTAAACACTACAAGCATGCTACATTAGTAAGAACTACTTGAGATAGCCACTCAACTAGTAGAGCTACATAAGCACAACTACTAGAGTGAGAAAAGCACAAGAGCAACAACACTAACACAAGATAACAAGTAAGAGCTAGTATTAGGGAGTTGGAAACTGAGCAGGAGACAATAGATCATAACACGATGGTTTTCTCCCAAGGTTCGGTGGCTTACCAACAACTTAATCCCCGCTAAGGCAAGCCCCAAGATTGTTGTCGGTCCTTTAGCTAATCAAGCCCACAATCTTGCAATCACCCCTCAAGGTGAGCTCCAACTTGAGCACTAGATCTTGACCCAACCCAACCTTCTATTAGAGTTGCTCTTCATGATCGATCACTAGGACAACACAAGAGCCCCTTACAATTGCTCTCTCCAAGCACACATAAAAACCTTCTTCTTGTGTTTTCAACGAAGACATTTGCCACTGTTGCCCTAGGAGGTGGCAACCTCCAAAAGTAACAAATCTTCAAGCTAGACCGTAGTGCCACTAGATGCTATCTTTCTCGAGCAAATGCACTAGATCATTCCAACCTTACCACTGTAAGGATCTAGATGGCTAGAGGGGGTGAATACCTCTAAAAATTCTCTACAAATTACAAGCACTAGAGCAAAGGTTGATTAGTACAATATGAGCTCCTAATCGCAACTACTTTGCACTAGCTCTATATTCACCCAAACCAACCCCTCCTACACAATTCTAGTAGCCTTGATACTAATTCTAAGCACAAGCACCACACAAGAGCACCTACTAGCAAGAAGTACTAGAGCTACAAAACAAATAACTAAACTAGTTACAACTACAACTATAACTACAAGCTCTAGCTAGCTACCACTACAAGCAGCTACCACACAAGCAAGATATGAATGAAACAACAAGTGTGGAAGTGATATACTGAACTGAGCAAGTGAATGCACACAAGATTTGTCCCTAAGGTTTGGTTGCTTTCTGGCAACCTACGTCCTCGTTGTGGCGGCGAGTCCCCAAAAGATGATCTGCGCGCTAACTGGCGTGACAAGCTAGACCCACACTTAGGTGCCGCAAGAATCAATCAAGCGGTGCACTCCAACTAGCCACGAGCATTCCACTAGAGTTGCTGAAAGCCCTAGTTTGGTTTTGGCTAATTGATGAAACCTAGGTACTAACCTATGTAATTAAGTGTGAATGTGAGCTAGGTTGGTACATCCAAGTAATGGAGCTAGATGATGGTGAATAAGGTGGTGGTGATGACCAAAAGAGATGATTAAGTGCTCCAACTTGGAAAAGAAGAAAGAGAAAAAACAAAAACCAAGTGTTGATCAAGGCAAAGGTATCAAATAGGCTTTTGTTTTGGCGCTCAAAACACCATAGAGGGTGTGAGTGTATTTAGGATCAATAGCCGTACTATTAAGAGGAGAAAACCTTGGCTAAGCGGTTATCGAGTGCCACTAGATGAAATGATTCTTGCATATACATTAGTACCTAGTGTGCTAACAATTAACCCTTGAAAATGCTTGAAAAAATGATAACACACGTGCACATGGGTTATACACATTGTGGTTAGCAACTTGGAAGCAAGGGTGAAGTGTTTGAAGAGATAGAAAAAGAGGAGGAGTTTCCTAGGGACCGGACCCTAACTGCGGAGGGATCGGACCCTGACCATGCGAGTCCGGTCAATGTTTGGACTAAGCCGAGGGGCGGAGTGATGACCAGATCCGGCATCTGGGAAGGACTGGACCCGACGCTGAGAGTCTGGTTGTGCTGCTGGTGGCGCGTAGGTGACATGGTGAGGACCGGACCCAGGTGCTAAGTCTAGTCTGGGTGCACCGGACTCAGTCCGAGGCACCTGGGAGCTCTCGGTGTGTTTTCTACGTCGATCGGACCCTGTATAACTCGAGCGACCAAACCCGACATTCCGAGTCCGGTCATTACAAATGAAGGCGCAGAGTGTGACTCAAGTGAGGACCAAACCTTGGTGAGTCTCGGTCTCAAGGACCAGACCAGTCCAATTATATTTTAGCGCCGAGGAGCTCTTTGTGTTTGATCGGACCTGAGCTACAAAAAAACGACTAAACCTAGGGGTTGTGCGTCCGGTCCGGGATTAACAGTCGGGAGGAACTTAAGTGACCATTGGAGATGGACAGACGAGTTTCAAAGGGAGGACATGTGGCGATATCTGGGTGATCGGACCTTGAGGACCGAACCCTACTCAGAGTCCGGTCACCGAGTCCGGTTGACTCCGCGTCAGCCCAACGACTATTTGAGCCAAGGGGGCTCTATAAATAGCTTGGGGCTGGCTCTAGCTCATACTCTTGCACATTTTCATCAGTGATACATCCTTGTGAGCCTAAGCAAACATCTCCCACTCATCTCCATCATTGATTCATCATCAAAGTGAGATTGTGAGTGTTTCCTAGTGTATTTGCTTGAGTGATTGCATCTAGTGGCACTTGGGGATCGTTGTGGCTGCGGATTTCTTGTTACTCTTGGTGGTTGTCGCCTCAAGATGGCTTGTAGTAGCTTGAGGAGGTTGGCATGAGTTGGTGATTGTTCGTGGCCATCTCCTGGTGGATTTGTGAGGGGTTCTTGGGCTTATTCCCCTACGAAGCACCAAAAGCACCTCTAGTGGATTGCTCGTGACATTGAGCGCCCTCATCTTGTGAGGTTCTTGCGGCGCCCTAGTGAAGGGCTTGGCGTGGTGCCAATTAGCTCGTGAACCACCAAGTGAATCAGCCATCACAACGAGGACGTAGCTTGCCAGCAAGCAAGTGAACCTCAGGATAAATTGTGTGTCAATTGGCTCTTTGATTTTCACTTGGTGATCATACTGTCTCTTGCCATGTTTGGTATATCATCTCTATCACTCTTTGTACTTACATTCATTTACTTGTGTAGTGGTAGTTGTGGTAGCTAGTGTAACTTTCTCTTGTGTAGTGTAGAATTAGTTGTTAGCTAGCTCACTATCTTAGTAGAGTAGAGACTTAGCCATTGTATGCCTAGAGATTGTATTCAACTAGAATTGATTGGATAGGTGGCTTGCAACCCTTGTAGAGATAGAGCAAAATTGCATTACGCCATTTAGTGTACTAACCATTTGCACTAGTGAATTTATAGAAGAATTTTATAGGCTATTCACCCCTCTAGCCATTTAGGACCTTTCAGTTGCTCTTAGCGATCTCCCACGGGGAAGAGCACAAGAGCCCCTTACAATTGCCTAATCGAAG